TAGTAACAACAATGAGATACTATTTAAGCGTGGGAAAGCCACTTCAGACGAGCCACATAGAACCGGAACATAATAGTTACCAAACCCACCGAATAGAGCCGGCTGAACATTAAAGAAGATCATAATCAGACCATGTAGTGTAAATGTATAATTATAGTAGTTCTGGTTTTCCAAAGCAATCATACGCACTCCACTTGAATATAATTCAATTCTTAAAAAAAGGGACATCAGCGTAGCTAACACACCAAATAGCAATGCAAACCAGAGATAATATAAACCCAATGTTTTATGATTACAATTAGATAACAGCTGCGCTGCGCGCAGTGGACTTAAATTTAAGTGGTACTGCGTACATAATAAGGAGAAAGCAATAAAGTACATTTTTATGAAAACGCTAGCCTGGTTATAAGAATAGAACTGAACCAGGTTCAAAGGGAATGAGAGTTCACCGTTAGAAGCTATGCGTGAGCTGGGTTAAGAGCGTCTTGAGGCAGTTTGTTCCCTATCTACCGTAAATAGTAACCTCGTTCGGCTTGCTCCTTATGTTGTAGTTTACTGCTCCTTCTAAAACTATGCTGACTGGAGTAATATAAATACATAGTATTCTTAAAGGAATCGGTATGATACATAATAACCGGTCATTTCGATCCCGTTTTAAAACAGATGCTAGGCCAATAACCCAAATGGTACCGGGCAAATGACATAGTCTTGAACTCTTCATCAAAGTTATCAGAGTCTTGTGTTGGTACTTAACAGACGCTACCTTTAGCACAAGAAGCTGGAGTTTACCTTGATTATTCTTTTTCTAGTCCATCCAATCTGTAGCGATTGCATGGTACCGAGGTCAAAGTTTTTCGATCCCAGGCTGGTTAAAAGAAAATATTAGCTTGCAGTGTGAGTCTACCTGCGGTAGACTCACTACGTGATCTAACTGACCTCCGGTCAGTTCTCTATATTAGACCACACACTGCGTAGCAGTGTGTCTACGAGGTAGCTGGACTGCTTGTGTTAACATGTTCAGTCAAGAAGGCAACAGCCTCGATGGAATCATTATGCCCTACTTCTCACACAGCTACGCTGTGAGTCTCTACCACACACTACGTGTGTAGGCAGAGGTTGAGACACACTACGTGTGTCTTTATTCTAACACACACTACTGTGTGTGTTTTACAATTAACTAGTTGGCAACGAATTCCTAGCCTTGAACACACCGCTCGTCACGCAATTGACCCAATATTACCAGAATCATAATGAAATAACTAATTACAAAGATACGTCCGTAGGAGAGGTAAGTACACTGAGGTAATTGACTTCCAACCCAGATCAAAGAATATAGACAAGAATAGAGCCAGAATGACATTGACATTATAGACCTGCCGTGCGTAGATCTAATTTGTATATTCGTATTTACATGACGCTGCTCCGCTAACATGTAAATGCATTGAATGGAACAGATCATTACAATTAGACCGCTGGTTTTATGTGGTATTGATTTAAGCATCGCATAGAATGGCAGGAAATACCACTCCGGTACTATTTGTAATGGTGTAACGAATCTATCAACCACACAGCTGTTATCTGGGTGTGACAGCGTTACGATTCCAATAAATACCTGAATTGATAGAATCACCACAAAGGTACTTAATCCTTTCAGATCCAACCATAAAATGGTTGGATAGAATGTAACTTTATTTGGAGTGTCAATACCTAATGGATTATTACTTCCAGTTAAATGTAGATATAATATGTGTATAAGGATCAGACCTAAAATAACGAATGGAAGTATAAAATGGAGCACAAAAAAGCGCTTCAGTGTCGGGTTGGATACGTAATATCCACCACATAACCAGGAGACCAAGAATGGAATCGATGACAGCAAATTAGTAATCACGGTAGCTGCCCAGAAACTCATCTGACCCCATGGTAATACATAACCTAAAAATGCTGTTACAATTGTAAGTATGAACATAACCAAGCCACTTAACCAAGTTAACGATAGGTAATAACATGAACCGAACGAGATTGCTCTTATAATATGAATGTATGAAAATATAAATACAAATGAAGCCGCTGTCGCGTGCACATACCTAAATAACCAACCTGATCCTATTTCCCTGATCATATATTGTACACTATTATACGCTAAAGTAATCTCCGCTGTAAATATTGAAGCCAGTAACACACCAGAAATAATTTGTAACATAATTGCCACAGCAATTAAAAACCCGAAATTCCACATAAAATTTAGATTCACGGGACAAGGATACGACTGTAAATGACCTTTAACTAGATTAATAGCTTTTGACGATACAACATAATATGCAGTAAATTATATATCACGTTAAGACACTGCAAGGCAGTGCTACAGAGAATACACGTTATTAATCACATAGCTTCGGTGAATATATCTACACACTGCCTAGCAGTGTGTCTTATAGACCTCACTACGTGAGGTTGAGACACAGTCCATACCGATAATAATATGATTTATCAGGTCAAAAGTCTTTGGTAGACTGACACACAGTGTCTACGAGGTAGACACACTGCTACGCAGTGTGTGGTCAGTAAATAGAGAACTGACCTCCGGTCAGTGTTAAATTTAAGACTCACGTAGTGTCTCTACCGCAGGTAGAGACACACTACGTGTGTGGTAGAGTCTGAGAGTAACTATACCATAGAACCAAGGATAATGTTTAAAACTGTACTGCGTAATTATTCCTGTACACGGCGTAGTAGTCTTTATACAGATCCACTAGGATCTGATGTGTCAGAACTAAATTAAAACAACTCCGAGTCCTTTAACCGCAGTTGTAAATGAAACACCTGTTGCTACTTGATTGACTGACCTGTGGTGTTAAATTTAACACCACAGGTCAGAGTTATAAGAATACATACTGCGTAGCAGTGTGTCTCAACCTCTGCCATGCAGAGTCTACCTGCGGTAGACACACGTAGTGTGTGGTTGAGACTCACAGCGTGGCTGTCTTATCTATACACACAGACCCTGTATTCCGTTGAACAGGTCTAAACCCTACTCGCAGGTATAATTTACCATTGGTTCTGGTTAACTATCTGCTGAGCAGATAGTTAAATTCCGTATGTTGGTTATAAATCTGTAACATCACGTAGTGAGTCAACCTCTGTAATCTGTAGCTCATATAATGACTACCTTTAGCTAGATGGTTTAAGATCCTGTTCCGTTTATCGGTTATGTTTTTACCACCGTATAACATAACAGAGGTAACTGGTTAAAAAGCTACTGACCTTTTGGTTAGACTCAGCTACGCTAAGAGTAGCTGATTTAAATCAGCTACCTGGTAGACACACCTCAGGTGTGTGGTCTAATATAGAGAACTGACCAGAGGTGTTAAATAACACTCACTACGTGAGTGTTTTAGCATCTAGGACTGTACCAAAAGTACTGTTTTCAGACTAGAAACATAATTCCACTTTGTAACCACACCTGTGTGGTTATCTAGCGATAGCGTCTGAGCTCTTCTTTGGTCCATCGTTGTTGGTTCTTATTCCTTCATATCAATGTGTGTTAATTGTTCTTGTTCTGCTCACACTCCAGCAGATCTGCTGTGGTGCATTAACTGTACGTATTCGATTACTCTCTAGTCAGTTGTTCTTTTTACGCTGCTTTGTCTGTGTTAGTAAATAGTTACCAAGGCAGCTATGAGTCGACATGGAGGTGCCACTACAATAACTGGATGAGAGCTCCGATTATCGGTTGACCTGTTATCCCCGGCGAACCTTCGTACCGTTTATTATACTCTTTACCAGGCATGCAATACCGAACAGTTCAGCTACAAGTTCACCGTCAACTACCTTGTTACGACTTCGTACCGACTGTGTGTCGGCTGTCAACCGGTTAACTATCTCCCACACATCTGTTGATTAAACAACACTCAGTCCTCACAGCTACGCTGTGGTCAGTTTTTATTAATCCACTACTGCGTAGTGGTAGACTCACTACGTGAGTCTTAAATTTAACACCTCAGGTCAGAGTTATAATCTATTTTACCACTCCACTGCCAGTGTGGTGTAATCACTACAATTAGACTTCTTGTGAAATCTCTCTCGATTTTACCTAACCAGCTACTCCACATCTATGAACCACTGTGTAGCTACACAGCTAGGCTGTGTGGTCCAATAAATAACACAGCTACGCTGTGTCTGCTACGCTATGAGTACAGGGAAGTAAAGGTGCTCAGGGTCTTACCGTCGGGCCGTAGTTGTCCACATATTCATGGATAATTCTATTTACAAAGAGTCTATTCTATCGACAATGAGGTAGTCGTTACACCGTTCATGCAGGACGGAGCTTACCCGCCAAGGAATTATGCTACCTTAGGACCGTTACGTGTTCAGCCGCCGTTAACCATAAGAGGCTGTGTGGTTAGATTGGAATACCGTATAGTCTGTCCCAGCAACAGCGGTCAAACAGGTACAGCCGAGTGTTATCCTCTATGGTAACCAGGCGTTAATAGCGGTCAGGTACATATTACACAAGACTCAGTCTTGTGTTGGTACATCAACATTAAATACAATGGTTCGTGGAATCTAAAGATAGCTCAGCTATCTTTAGATTACACCAGTGAGTCTACTAACCACACTGCCATGCAGACTCAACCACACACTGCGTAGCAGTGTGTCTCTACCTGCGGTAGAGTCTGAGGCAGTGGTAGACACACTACGTGTGTGGTTGAGTCTGAGGTCAGTGTTCTGAAAACTACTTATGTATGTAATTGTAAGGCTACACTCAGTGGAACTGAGAATAACACTACCTGTGTGTCAACCAGGTAGTGGTATCTATTTACTACCGGTCTAGTTAAGACACAGCTACGCTAAGAGTAGCTGATTTAAATCAGCTACCTCGTAGAGACACTGTGTGTGGTCAGTTTAAATAAATCCTCTACTGCGTAGCAGTGGTAGAGACACACCTCAGGTGTGTGGTTTAACTAGTCCACACGCTGAGTTTACCAAACCATTATCTTGACAAGATAATATTACCTACAAGTAGTCTTGTCCATAAAAATAATCACCCGTGTGATTACAGGACCATTAAAATGAACTCCTGTCCGTGGTAGAGTAGTTAAACTCTTTTCACTACCACACACAGCGTAGCTGTGTGGTCAACTATCAGAACAGAATTAATATACATACCTGTGCCACCAGAGTCTACCTGCCGTAGACACACTGCATGCAGTGTGTCTTTTTAACTAACTGTGTTAAGGTTGATCCTTTTAATTGGTTCACCGTACTGGATAAAAATAGTCTGTAATCTACTCCTGCCATGTTACAGTTTAACAATACCATGTGTTAAATTATGCTGCCACAGGATAAACAACACTGCGTAGCTGACTCTACCACACACGTAGTGTGTCTACCTGCGGTAGAGTCTGCTAGGCAGTGGTAGAGACACACCTCAGGTGTGTGGTTGAACACTGCCTTGCAGTGGTGTGAAAATCAAATATTATATCATGTGTATATATCTATCGACGGTTTTGAATTCTAAACCATTTGTTACACTACCACACCTAGTGTGTTCAGGAATAACATAACCATGGTTGAGTCTATTCAACTTGACCTCCACAGCGTAGCTGTCTCTACCTGCGGTAGAGTCTGTGTTTTTTCACTCTGAGCTACATAGCGTAAATAAGATTTAATTGACCACTCACGTAGTGAGTCTACGCTGGTGTGAGGTTACACTTATAACACACAGTGTTCTATAAAGACACTGGTTCTCTGACCTCCGGTCAGAGAACCTCTTTAAACTAGACCACAGCTACGCTGTGGTTACTCTCGTAACCACAATACCGAGCTACTGGTGGTAATTGATTGCTAAAACCCAGTTTTACTGAAATGATTATCTAGACCAAGAATCTATGTAACAGACTGATTATATTTACACAGGCTCCGCCTGTATTAACGGATCATTCTTTAAACCACTGCGTAGCAGTTGTTATCCTAAATACGAGTATGTGTATTTAATCCATTCACACTACGTGTGAATGTCAGCTAGAGGTAAAACCAGAATGGTTTTTATTGCTGATCCAATGAAAATATCAAGTTTGTAACCTTATTCAGACTTTGCAGTAGATCAAATGTGATCTTTATTATTCACACGTCAAGTGTGTTTTAACTAGAATAGTTAATTTACACCATATAGTAATGATCTCAATATTAATGTAACCAGACCAAGTTTATAATTCCTAAAGTTGAATGACATTCATTTGGAATAGATACCGCCAGCGGCGGTATCTATCATTAAATGGTTGATGTGTTCAGTTCAATAAATATCAATCTCGGTGACACTGCATGGCAGTCTCTACCTGCGGTTGAGACACAGCGTAGCTGTGTGTTAAAAACAGACTTATTATTATAATTTCATTCCTGACCACCACCACAGCGTAGCTGTGTGGTCTTTTAACCAGTCAAGTATTCAATTCGAGAGCATGAAACCGGTAAAACACAACACACTACAGCCTCTACCAGGTAGAGACAGACCTTTTTGGTTACACTCTGCGTAGCAGAGTCTAGCTGGCGGTAGAACAACAATTCTGTACCGTACTTGTCAGGGTTTTTATTCCTTTCAAACATGTAAGTGTACCAATGTCCACACACTACGTGTGTGTTCAGACAATTCTGGTCAGAAGGAGGTTTAGTACAGTACTATCAGGTAGAACACTTTAAAAAGGTTTCACTTGACTGATTATAAGATCACGTGTATTCAGAATGTTATATGTAGCTACATACGATAGTATAATCATATTCAACTAGTGTGGTCTAGTTAATTCAGCTCCGATGTTTTACCACACGTAGTGTGGTCTAAAAGACACACTGCATGCAGACTCAACCTGGTAGAGTCACAGCGTAGCTGTGTGTCTACCTGCGGTAGACAGCGTACATCAACAGCTGAGGATCATATTTAACTCCGATACACACCAGCTTATAAAAAAAGAATACACACTGCGTAGCAGTGTGTGTCTTTTACCTTCGGTTCAGTATACAGGTAAAGAGAGATCTACTGAACCGAAACAGATTTATGTATTGCTGCACCAATATAGGTGTGTAGCTCTACGAGGTAGTGAGTAGTCCCTTTGGTACTGTATTCCGGTAGTGCAAAGATAATGAGTCTGATTCACATGCATAGTAAACATAACCGACCTTATCAGCTGCTCAGCTTAATAGATACCACTACTACACACAGCTAGGCTGTGTATATATTAAATAGACTCAACCACACACTACGTGTGTCTTTACTATACCTCATGCAGTGGGTTAACAGACCACAGTGGAATTAAT